CCTGTGAGCTCTGTGGGGGCAGGGTCCCTGCAGCCTCCCCTGGTTATCCCCAGCCTTCGAGCAGAGCCAGCCATACAGGAGGTGTCCCCTGGACTTTGGCCGACATCTGAGGGTTGGCTGGTCAGTGGAGAACAGAGATCTGCTTTTTCTGTGTGCCTGTGATGGATGGGAGTGAAAAGCTGTAAAGGATGAAAGAAAGCTCTAGAGAGGCAGGTTTAAGTTCAAGGGCAGATAGTATTTCCTGCATGTCTCCTCACGAGGACGTGTGATTCCTAGACCCTTAAAGCAAAGAAGACTGGGCACACACTCAGTTCCACGTTCCCTTGCCCATGCCTCTGGGTGCTCTGGGCATTGTGAATGGTGAGGTACCACCTCCTCTTCCAAGGAAGCTGAATTTGAGCCTCACCTTCCAGGCTGTTATGAAGGCACAGGTCTCCCCTGCTGTCCAAAAGTAGAGCATTCCTATGAAACCTTTCATAAGCTGAAATGGTGTAAAGTGAAGAAGCGATCACCTTAGGACACATGTTGCTAACGGATGCAGAGAATAAATCACAGAGGCTCACAGACACAGTTCAAAGCTCTGGCAGCTTGATGCTGAGATGCTGAGCGTAGTTCCAACGTAAGGAGCTTGGTGGTGCCTGTCTCACTGCTCAGGGTGCGAGCTGCTTCTAGAAGGCTCCCTGCAAAACAAACACTGAACGCTGTTTTTCCTTTTCGCCTTTTGCAAAAATGAAAATCCTCTTCGGGTTTCTTTCGATTACTGAAAAGAGGTACGAATGTGGGTCTTTCGTAAAAGCGAACTGGCGTAAAAGTGAAGTTTTGAAAAGCGGGGGACACCTGTATACTTGTCAGTTGAGTAGGATAAAACACATTTATTGAGTGTCTTACTTTAATGTATAACTTTCTAATGCTTCATCTCATTATGCCCGGGTTTCCAGCTGTCCTCTTGAACGTGGGGGTGGGCAGGTCTGCTTAGGAAGACAAGGCGAGCACCTGAGTGGGAGGCCTGGCCTTGCACACCTGCACTCACGCAGAGTTCCCTTCCACATGAGAGGAGGCAGGGGCCCCCGGGAGAGGAGAAAGACTGTGTGTTGGGGTGCGTGAGGGGCCATCCAGCATTCAGGGTGCGTCACTTGCCTGGTGGATTCACGGAGGCTTCGTCTCCTTTTATATGCTGTGCACGTCTTGGTAAAGTGCTAAATGTTTTGTGCCGGCACAAACGCCCCTTTTGTGTCACTCCAGCTCCTGCTGGTGGCTCTTCGCAGCCCACAATAAGTTGTACATTTATTTCCGCTAGGACTTTTCAAAAAGGAACACGCGCTCTGCTGTACAAGAAAAATCTGTCTCTCCCACCTACCCACACCCCCTCCCCCAGAAGTGAAGCCCAAAGATTAGCTCCCTGGGTGGTCTTTTTAGTCTCCTGAAATAACCCGGACTCCGAGGAAGGAGGTGGTGTTAGGTGGCTTCCAAGATGGGGAAGGTTTCCGGACTCCAAGGAAGGAGGTGGTGTTAGGTGGCTTCCAAGATGGGGAAGGTTTCCGGACTCCGAGGAAGGAGGTGGTGTTAGGTGGCTTCCAAGATGGGAAAGGTTTCCGAAGGCTGGGCTTGCTCCCCATTTTTTGCAAAAAGAGGGCGTAGAGGGGTCTTTAGAGGGCTGGGCGAGAGTTATCTTGGAGGACAGTGCTGGAGACGTTTGGCTTGGGCCTCGTAGTCTCACTGCAAACACAGAGCTCTGACATTACCTCCAAATTGAGTTCTGGAGCATTTAGTCCCAGAAAAGCACTGGAGGACTGAAAGATGTTCATCACACGGCCTGGATCTCGAGTTTATTTTTATAATCCTGTTTGTTATGTGAATTTTTGAAGAGATGGAAGAGGCCCAGACCTTTCTGCTGTAGAGAACGGATATAGATCCTACTCAACAGGCAGATTGATAACAGACACTCCTTAGCACTTAAACTATGCCAGACCCTGTTCTGAGTGCTTTACACATATTAATTGGTGAAATCTCTGCAGTTCCAATGCCTGGGGTAGGTGATGTCATTATTCCCATTTTACAGATGAGGAAACTGAGGCCCAGAGAGCTTAAGTAACTTGTTGGAGGTCCTACAGCCAGTAAGTGACATAGCCAAGATGGAGGAGCAGGCAGTCTGGCCCCCCAGGATGAGGTCTCAACCACAGCATGGCCTGGCCTCTTGGAGATGAACAGCCTCACCCCCTAACCAGTGTCTGAGTAGAGTCATGCTGTCCCACCTATCACCTCTTGGTGATATCCCAGACTCTCAGGGTCCTAAGAAGAAACCATCATACGGCCACATAAGAGTACCTGCCCCTACAACATAGGAGCCTCATTCAGCCTTAACCCTTGGTGCTCCTGTGTCCTGGAGAGACACAGATTTCCCCCAGTTATTCACATCCTTGTTATGTATGCCAGGCCCTGTGGTAGACACTGGAGCTTCAGCAAAGGCACGAGAATCCCTGTGCCTGTCCTCACCTCGTGCAGGCGAAGGAGAGGGCTGGAAGGCACTCACCTTCTGGTGTGATGCTGGCCAGGATGGTAGAGGGATGGGTGCCCTGGGGCACGCAGCAGAAATCCCACCCATGGGAGGCTGATGGGGGCTTCTAGATGCAATTAATAATTAATTACTGAGACTCAAACAATTAGCAGGCACTAGTGAAGCCAAAAGCAGAGGGAGGGAGGGTGGTAAACAGTGTTCCTGGCAGAGACCCGGAGGCAGGTGAGAGCCTGTCCCTTCTTGACTGTCAGCCATGCCAGTCCCCGGTGAGCCCATCCACAGAGGCACCTGCCTGGTCATGCAAGCAAAGAGGCTTTCGAGACTTATTTCCTTTGGGCTCCAGACCTCTGCATGGAAGGAAAAGAATATCAAACTTGTCTTGTGACTGTCCCATACCACACCCTGATCTGCACTCTCTAACTGTGTCATCTCATTTAACCCTTCTCACAAGGAACCTGAGGCCCAGAGAGGGAATTTGTCTCCTGTCCAGGAAGAGGAAGAGGAAGAGGTGGGCTTGGCATGGAGGTCGGGATATTGCCAAGCCTGGGCCTCTCACACCAGTGCCCTGACATCTGACCTGCCTTTGAGGAGTGATTTCAATGCTACCAGGAAATCCCTGACTGTAGAATTCCAGTTTAGTCCTGGTGGTCTGGCTGAGGCGACACTGTTGTCCTGATCAGTTGTTTTGTTCATTAACCTATATATAACTGGGCAAGGTTCAGTGCGAGTGATTCAGCCATTCTATGCAAGTCAGCTGGAGTGGTTCACCTAGGGCGAGAGGAGCTCCACTTTCAAGATGGCATTCAAGTTGGTGCTCGCTGCCAGCTGGGAGCTCAGATGGGGCTGCAGGTTGAGGGACCCAGTAACTTCAACTGGGCCTCTCCATGGACTGCTTGGGTTCCCACACAGTATGGTGGTCGAGTTCCAAGAGAGCAAGGTGCATGGGATGGCATTTTATGACCTAACCCTGGACGTCACAGAGCAGCATTTCTACTGTACTTTATTGGTTGACGCAGTCGTCCGCATCAAGCCAGTTTCAAGGAAAAGAGACAGAGAGCCTAGCATTCAATGAAAAGAGTGCCAAGGTCACCTTGGAAGAAGTGCGTGTGGGATGGGAGATAGTGTTGTGGCTATCTTTGGAAAATACAATCTATCACAAATATTTACTATTTACTAGGCACCGCTCTAGATGCTAAGTATACTCCAGAAAATAAAACAAAGACCCCTGCCATCACGGACCTTATATACAAGCAGAGAGGGGTTGGGGGGTGGGGGGAGACAGACAATAACATGGCAAATAAATAAAGCATGTAGTAAGTTAGAGGTGATAAGTGCTGTTTAAAAAAGAGCAGGATAAGGGGGTCTGGAGTGTGGGGTGAGAGTAGCAATTTTTTTTATATAGCAAATTCTTATTACCTCTTTTATACATATTAGTGTATATATGTCAATCCCAATCTCCCAATTCACCCCACCACCATCACCCCCCCACCCCCCTTGGTGTCCATACATTTGTTCTCTACATCTCTGTCTCTATTTCTGCCTTGCAAACTGGTTCATCTGTAGCATTTTTCTAGATTCCACATATATTCGTTAATATATTTGTTATTCTCTTTCTGTCTTACTTCACTCTGTACAACAGTCTCTAGGTCCATCCACGTCTCTACAAGTGACCCAATTACGTTCCTTTTTATGGCTGGGTAATATTCCATTGTATATATGTGCCATGTGTTCTTTATCCATTCATCTGTCGATGGGCTTTAGGTTGCTTCCATGATGTGGCTATTGTAAATAGTGCTGCAGTGAACACTGGGGTGCATGTGTCTTTTTGAATTATAGTTTTCTCTGGGTATACGCCCAGTAGTGGGATTGCTGGGTCATATGGTAAGAGAGTAGCAATTTTAAATAACATAATCAGAGAGGTTTTCCCAAGAATATGTCATTTGAACAATAAGGTGAAATGAGAAGAGAGAATGAGTGTGTATATATCTGGGGAAAGAACATTCCCAGAAGAAGGAACTACCAGTGCAAAGGCCCCGAGGCACAGAATGCCTGAGGTATTTGAAGAATGATGAGATCAGTGTTCCTGCGGTAGGAAGTGAGAAGAGCTGTAAGAGGAGATGTGAAAGGAGCAGTAGGTGGTCAGGTCATAGAAGAACTTTAACTTTTACTCTGAAAGAAATGGAAAGCTATTGGAGGATCCTGAAAAAAAGAGAAACACGATCTAACCAAATTTTCAAAGGGAACACTGTGGCTGCTTTGTTGAGAACAGACTGTAGGGGAGGGAGGTCGGAGGTGAGGAGGACAGGTAGAAGACTACTGCAGTAATCCAGGTGAGAGGTGATGGTGGCCTGGGCCGGGTTTAGATTCAGGAAGCATTTTGAAGTTCATATCTCCTTAAAGAGAGAAAGAGATCTTCCCCTGCCGCCGTGGTGTTGCGCGGAGGCGGAGGCTGGGGTGCACTAAAGGTTCAGCTCCACCCGTAACCCACCGCCCTGGCCGAGGAAGGCATTGCTGCTGCAGGTGTAATGACGTTAATACCGAGCTGCAAGAGGTGCTGAGGACCGCCGTCATCCACGATGGCCTAGCACGTGGAATTCGGGAAGCTGCCAGAGCCTTAGACAAGCGCCAAGCGCATCTCTGTGTGCTTGCATCCAACTGCGATGAGCCTGTATGTGTCAAGTTGGTGGAGGCCCTTTGTGCCGAGCACCAGATCCACCTGATTAAGATTGATGACCGCAAGAAACTAGGGGAATGGGTAGGCCTCTGTAACAGTGACAGAGCGGGGCTTCCCTGGTGGCGCAGTGGTTGAGAGTCCGCCTGCCGATGCAGGGGACGCGGGTTCGTGCCCCGGTCCGGGAAGATCCCACATGCCACGGAGCGGCTGTGCCCGTGAGCCATGGCCGCTGAGCCTGCGCGTCCAGAGCCTGTGCTCTGCAGCGGGAGAGGCCACGGCAGTGAGAGGCCCGCGTACCGCAAAAAAAAAAAAAAGTGACAGAGGGGGAGACCCCATCAAGCGGCTGGTTGCAGTTGCGCAGTGGTTAAGGACTATGGCAAAGAGGCTCAGGCCAGGGATGCCCCTAAGGGGCACTTCCAGTGCAAGAAATGATCAAATACAAAAACCGGACTCTTGTTCCTCAAAAAAAAAAAAAAAAAAAAAGAGAGAGAGAAAGGTAGGTGTCAAGCACGATTCCATAGCACACCCTTATCTGTCCTGTGACATTGGCTAGTCTTTGCAGAGGGAGGAAGGTGGGCTTCTTGTCTTGGCTCACCCTGAGCCCCCTTTCTTGAGAAACGATTCTTATTCTTTCAGATAATTTCCTTAGACTCTTTTTTGTTCCCCACAAGTTGTACTTTAAGCAGTGGGTCCTACCCACTTCCTGGGGAATGGTAGCCCTATACAATGCTCTGGGACTGTGGTTTCTGTGGTGTATCAATGGGGAAAAGGCCGCCTTTATTTTTTTCCCCTTCTGAATATTTACAACGTGCACTTCCTCTGAAAAGTCCTGAAGTAAAGACCTTGTTTAACTTAGTTCAGCACATTATTTCTCAAATATATTTGACTCCAGGAAGTTTTTCCATTAGCATGCTTCCTCGGAACAATTTGGGAAAAGCTGATCTTATTTCAGTGACCTTCCTCCAAGGAGGAGATCATCAAAGCAGCCAGGTCTCAGTTATCTGCGTGACTTGGAGCTGCCTGTCCCAAACCAGTTTGCCAGGCTGCTCTGGCCTTTCTGGCCTCCTGCCTGCAGTCTCCTCACCTCTGAGGTCCTGCAGAGGCTGCCCTTTGCTGGGACAGTGCTGCCCCATCCACATCGCTGTCTGCACTGAGATGTCCTGTGCAGGAACGCTTAAGAGTCAGCACCCCGAGGTTGTCCCTGACTCTCCCATTTGTTGCTACAATCATTTATGGGCACTTATTCTATGATGCTGAGCTGTTGGAAGATGCAGAGATGAATCCAAGCTGGGTCTTGCTCTCAAGGTGATTCAGGTACATCAGTAGCAGTCATGTAAGGGGAGCTAAAGTAAGAATTGCTATAGGAATCATGCAGCTTTAAGCGCGCACACACACACACACACACACACACACACACACACACACAATATCAGTAACCAGAAGAGGGTTTGGGATTCAGAACTTGCAAATTATAGCCACAACGTTTGACCTTGGACACATTTTTTCACACTTCTATCATGGTTTTCAAGAAATCCACAAGAAAAATCTTCATTTGCTGTAGTAAATAGTTTAACCGCCTGGCCAGCCTAAGGCAAAGAAACCCTAAAGAATAGAACCGGACTGCCGGTTCCCTCACAGTGTGTCGTAAATGTACTGTCCCCTCCCACTCGCTTCCTGTGGAGCCTCAGAACCTAAAGGAGGTGTGGGTGGAGGGGAGAAGAGGAAGGAGAGACGGGGTAGAGGGAGGAGCGGGCAGGCCAGGAACGCTGAGGCTGGTGGTGAGAGACTTTTCCTACTGGGGACTCACCCTTGGGACTTTGTGATGGAAACTATTCTAGAAACTGCTGGAGGCTCCTACCCTCCCCAGCTGGGGGTAGCCTTGAGGGGTTGCACTGGTGGCCAGGTGTCCCATCCTCTTCCTCAATCATCTTGTAGGATTAGCTAGTATGAATGGTGCATCTCCTGCCTTAAAGAATGGATCATTTCACAGGGCTCTATTTTTTTTTTTCTCTGATTGTGTTTAAACTTTCTGTTTCTGAAGGTTAAGCCCAAGGAATACAGCCCAGGAAAATCTCTGAAAATGAGTTCTCTCTCTATAAATCAATAACAAGAAAACGTAGACCCTCAGAAGCCAAGAACATGGTAAGGGAGAGAGGTGTCCAAAAGCAGAGCCCCTAGAAAATGGTGACCCCCCACCCCTCCCTGCTAACATTCTTCCACACTCACCGAGCCTTGGTTTCTTCATCCATAAAATGGGAGTATGGATGCTTAGTTCTCAGGGTTGCCATGAGGATTAGATGAAAACCCAGCATGGTCCCTGGTAATTAATGTTGCTCTGTAAATGGTAGCTGTCGTCAGCATCATGGTCATTGTTGTGGAGGGAGGAGGTATCCATGAAGACTACATGGAGAAAATGACATCAAGGAAAATAGGATGTAGGCATGTGAACATTGTGGGAAAAGATGGAATTCCAGGCGGAGGACTAGCCTAGTAGAAGCACAAGGTCCTGAAAGCTTAAGACACTCTTAGAGAAGATGCTCCCCTGCGCTGACAGCTTCTCCTGTGTGGACTTAACCCCGGCAGTTCTAACTCAGGGTCATTGAATGACACTTTGACTTTGATCCCACTGCTGGTGTTGTCCTTGTGAAGTGGCCCCTCTTTAATACTCATTGATACCCACAAAGCAAGGCAAAGGACGTGTTCCAGTTCAGCTGAAACCTTGCTCAGTTAAAACCCTGACTGACACGATGACAATCAGAAAAACTTTAAAAAACTCATTAATTCTGAATCCGTTAAATCAGTTTCCTGACTCCATGGAGACTAGGAAGGGACTTCACCTTTTAATTCATTAAAGGAGTGATTTTTTTTTCAAGTGTAAGAAACAGCAAGAAAATGCATGTCCTGTTTTCCAGGTGCAGGGAACAAATAATATGTGAATGTAAATTATGCCCCAGACAGGAGACACTATTGACTACTTTTTGGCGCTCAGCTTTGCAAAGTCCATTTTGCAACTGGGGAGTCAGAGACTGTCAGCAGAGAGGTTATCTGCTAGGATTACTAGGTCTGATTCCATTTTCCAAACTCTTTCCACATTATCACGTTGTCTTCTGTGATAACCAGACTGTGTACTAGACATTTCTCATTTTTAGAGTTGACTGTAAAATGCATGATTCGATTCTGCTTTTGTCAATTAGAACAATATCACTAAAGCTAAAACCACCCTGACTGTCCCACCCACATTCACCATTGCTAGTCCCATCCTTTCTTTATTTCTGAGTTTCTTTCCTCAAAATTAGCCACTCGTGTAAATGCGGTTTCAATCTTTCCAACATAACTTTAAATGAGTTTGTTGTCGCTTTTCAGTCCTTTAAAAATACTTTTCCATATATGTCACCTACCCAAAGGAAAGCTCTAATGTGTGCATGTTTTCTTAAATGGTGTCATACTATATATAACATTCTGCATCTTGCTTTTTCCCTCAGAAATATTTTTTGAGCTCTACCCATGTTGACACATATAGAGTCAGTCCATTCCTTTTAAGAGCAGGAGAACATTCCAGCACATGAATATACCATTTTTATTCCACAGTGCCCTGGCTGAAGGTTATTTAGGTTGTTTCCAATGCTTTGCTGTCACAAACAGCGCCTCGGTGATCACCTTGTTCACATATATCTATGTGTGCTATGTTTGCACCCTTGAAAAGCTCACACTTAAAAGCTAACGAGTGGAATGCTCATTCTAGATCATTTTTATCTGTGTGAGAAGCAGTTTCCTGAAGGGCCTCTGATCCTGGGATCTGGGTTGACCATCTGGTTTACAGAGTTACTGACAGTCTTGAAGGGAATGTAAAGATTCAGACCTCTCCTTTGAAAGTTAGATTCTGATGCCCAGAGAGACGAAGGGACTTGACCGTGGTCGCGGTACCCAGAGCTCCTCCTTGCATGCGCTCAGCGAGCTTTACTGCTTACCTGTGTCCTTCCCATCTCCTCTTGGCTCTCGGCAGCGGTCACCTACATCTTCAGGTATGCGCTACACCTGACTCTCTCTGCCTTCGGGCTTTAGAAGAAACTTGGGAGGGGGCAGTGGTAGGAGTAATACCCTCAAAAAATTGCGCAACCCTCAACAAATGACAGACAGGAAGCTGGTGGAAAAATACCCCAGGTTCCTTGCCCCTTGGTGGAAAGATTCTAGGTGCCTCCTACCCAGCCTCTGACAGACTCCAGCAAGACTGCAACCATTTCCCATATGGTGACCCACTTATTAACACACCCTTGTTAGCTTTCCTCCCTCCCTTGTCTCTCTCACTTCCCAGCCCCTCACCTGCTTCCTGGGATCACCTCCCAAATCAACTACCTGCACCCAAATCCTTGTCTCAAGGTCTGCTCTTCACGGAACTCAAAGACTGCATCTGTATGCCAGGGTCTGTGCCAGGCAGAAGAGGATACAAGAAATGAATAATATATGATTCGCTGCTCTTAACGAGTCACAAGCCAGTGACCCAGGTCTTCTGACTCTCAGTGCAGTGCTCTTTGTGCTGTGCATATCTGTGCATTTTAATTCAATGACATTCTTTAAAAAAAAAAAGCAACGAGTCTTCCCAGCAATCAGTCTGACTAAATGAAGTTTTATTGTAATAAGTTAATTCCACTGCTTTTTTTTTTTAATAGTAAAGACCTGACTAAAATATTAATCCTTAAACTCAGACCTTCACTGGATACCAAGCAGTTTCCCCGACGCGCTATCGCCATCTCCATTTTTCTGATATATATGTTTCTCCTCCCTCTGTTCTTAGAAAATGTTGATGTTCAGTTCACCCTGATCAGTGTTTAGCTCTTCTGGTCAATTTATCTTATTTATTGACCTGAGCAGAAAATCAATGTAGTCTTCATTTGCCGTCCTGTTTAATTCGGGAGAATTGGATTCTGTGGAAACTGTGCCCAAACTACTAGAACCTTGATAGGGTACCATCTACTCCAGAGAGCCTTCCAGGGTCCAGCCTTAACTGACCTCCTCTCCTACCCCCTCCCTGTTTCCACTCCCACCCCTTTAAAAACAGAGACAGTCAAGACCAGATTTGTGTGCTTAGTAAGTACAAATGGATGTAAAGTTTGCTTTCAGAACGGGCTGGGTCTCCGAGATCTCTGCCCAAAGACTCCCTTCTCGCGGGGCCGCTTTCATAAATGCACAGGGAGGCAAAATGCCTTTGCCATAAATAAATAACGTGACCAAGAACACTTCTGAAAAGCTGGTTGCTTTCACATTCTAACAACTGCTGGGGAGCCTCAGGTCCAAAACTGCTGCAGGAGTTTTCCTTTCAAACAGACCTCGAATCCTAACCCCAGCTCCTCCCTGATTAACTGAGACTTTGGGCGAATTACTTTCCCCCTCTGAACTTCTGTTTGCTCACCTGTAAAAGGAGGCATCGAGGATATTGTTGTCAGAATAACAGAAAATACCCCTGACACTCACATCAGGGCACTGGGCTCCTACTGGGTTTTTTTTTGTTTTTTTGTTTTTTTGTTTTTTTTTTTTTTGCGGTACGCGGGCCTCTCACTGCTGTG